AGAGAGAGAGAGAGAGAATTCTCAAAAAATAATATAAAGGAAAAATTGTAAAAATAAAAAATACAACAACAACTGAAATATTACCAGATCGAGTGGTATCAATGTCAAAATAAAATCAATTATATGAACCTAAATTGCAAAAAATGAAAGTACCAAAAATTGCAAAGTCAATCGTCCTATCTTTGCTCTGGATGGAGATCGATGCCTCCAATCTTTGTCAAAGGGGTCCTCAAATACCCTAGATCGAAACCTCCAAACCAAAGTTGAGTTTTGAGTTTGGAGCCAGTTGATCCAAGCTCATGAAATTTTTGAGTGAATAGTATTCTCGAAATATAAATATAGCAAATCTTAGATTCTTGGTAGTTTATGTGAGAAACAAGCCTACGATTGGAGGAGGAACCAAAAAATAGGCCCAAGTAACAATTTTTATCCAAGATAGGTCGAAACTTAGGTTGAAATTTTGAATTCTCATATCCGTAAGTTCAGATGTTTCTCTTAAATCTGGTCTATTCAATCGATAGATCATGCAAAATGGAACCTACAGTGGCTGGATCAAATGTGTAGTTGAAGAAAAATGAGGCAAAGGGGGGTTGGATTTCTTGCCCCCTTTATTGCAAAAGAAGTGTCAAACTCAATGACTTCTGACCAATGGTTTAAAAAGCGGATCGATGACCCGAATCAGGCACCTCAAAAACAGATCCGGATCGACGAATCGGCGATCCGGATCGAGAATCAGCTGAATCGGTCAGAGTAAAGCTTCAAAAAAATCCGAAAAAATTATTAAAATTCATTATAAATGTTGTTTTTTAGGAATCCAATAAAAAATGAGGGTACTACATTATTAACTTTTATTTTTTTTATCAATTTGTGAATATTGAGATGCTCTTTCCCTGCATAAACTTATTTTAACTATTAAATTTGCATCACATAAAAGAAAAATCATAGAATTATCATGGATAAAATATATAATTATATAGGGACTATTATAAAGAGTAGACTAATCAATGAAAGAATGGCCATTAAAATCTCGTTTTGGCAAAAAACCCTAATCCACTAAAAAAACCCAAACTATTACGGCCTAACTAACTATAATCCAAAATTATTACAACCTCACTAATTATAATATTATATACTGATATTATAATTATTAGTTTACATTTTATAATTATTTTATTAGACAAATAATAAAAAATTAAAATATTTTACAATATTATCTAATTTAAAATGTATTATTGACAACTGTAAGAAAAATAGTACATTACATGATTTATAATGTAAAAATTCATAAATAAAATAAAAGATTTGGTTATCAATGTAAAAAATTAATAAAATGCGTATTTCAAATAGAATAAACTTTTTATTTTTATTTTTTTATATCTTTCATATTATTTACAAAAATAATTATACCACTATATACAACGAAAATTAACTGTTATATAGAAAATTAATTTTTTTATTTTTCATTTTTTTATGCCTTTTATGTTATTTACAAAACTA